TCAAAATATTAATAACAATCTCTTATTGAGAGCTTGCATGTGCCAGGCATGGTGTTAAGTGTCAACTCAATTAATCCATGCCCTGATCCTGTGAGGTAAATGCTCTGATAATGGCAACCTGATGAGTAAGGAAAGTGAACCTTAGACAAAATCAATTACATGCCCTAGGCCTAGGTCACCCTGCTAACCAGCAGAGCCTGGGTTTTCACCCTGTTCTGCCTGACCACAGGGTCCATGTTCCTGGTTATTCTCATGACTTGACATCTCCACATGCATGTCCCAGAGCTCCCTCAACTCAAGATGGAAACGTTTCCTTCTCACACAGACCCTCTCCTTCTCCTGTCCTCTCCTGGCTTCGGTCACCTCCTCACACCTATCACTTAAACTGAAACCTCCAGCTCATCCCTGACACCCATCACCCACAGCAACTTGTTGTTCCCTATGCCCTTTTAATGTTACTCTCGCTGGCTCTCAAATCTTTCTCTCATCTTTCAAATCCTCATTTGGTTCTTTCCAAATGTTAGTAATTCGGTATTATTATTAATGTTTTCATTGATTTTGAGAGGGGAAGGGAGAGGGATAGAGAGAAACATCAATGATATACATCCATCCATCTGCTGCCTCCTGCATGCCCCCTACTGGGGATCAAGCCCACAACCCGGGCATGTGCCCTGACCAGGAATGGAACCAGTGACATCATGATGCTCAACCACTGAACCACACCAGCCGGGCATAATTCGGTATTATTTTAGTAACCTCTGTAAATAGGCTCTCTACCCAAGTCTTACCTTTTTCAAATCCAAACCCCATTTTGCTGGATCTAGATTTGATCATTTGTTAACAAATTTGATATCACAGGGGGGCTTAGAATCCTCCAGTGATGCGACAAGTCCCACGTGATAAAACTCGGATTCCTTAGTTAGATGTTCTTCCGGGTATCACTCCGACTTCCTCAAAGGCCTGTCCTGCTGCTTCCTGGCACCTTGTTCTTGCCCCATAAACACTGCCTGCTCTTCTTTAAAGGTCATAACTGGGTCCAAAGACATGCTACCCTGTGCGGGTTCACCCAGTGCTACTGTGTTTGTGTGTGAGAAAGGGTATGCACGCATGTGTGCCTGCATGTAACGGTCACCATTTAAACAATTGGTAAAGTTGCTGTAAAAGTCCAGACCTCTGACTTCTCTTGAAACCTGGCCTCACCACCCTGTGTTGTGCCCCAACCCAACTCACCTGGCATTGACGAGCTCTGCATGACCCCGTAGGCGGTGCAGTTTGTGGTCTCTCCTCGGGGCCATTAGCCAAGTGCACCTGGGTCCTCCGGCCTTTGTAACGCTGTTCCTGCTGTTTCTTCAGATCGTAGTATCCTTTCGACACCTGGAAAAGCTCCCCCCCACCCCCACCCCCGTCTGGCCAGTGTGTGTGTGTGTGTGTGTGTGTGTGGTTTAGGAAAGTTAGTGGATACCTTTGCTGCTTTCGGGGGGATGGGTGCTCGGGAGTTTGTGGCAGCGCCACTTCAGCTTCGCCATCAGGGCTAACGGCTGTGCGGGGGCCGCTGGCCCCGCGGAGGGCGGCCGCGCGCAGATGGGCGGACTTGCTCTTGGCTCCAGACCCGTGTGGGATGCTGCCCCGGGGCCGTTGGCGCTGTGGCCGGTGGCGGGCTTCTCTGGGGGGTCTCCGCTTTGAGACGACCGCCACCCCTGGCCTTGGCCGCGGGCTCCACACCTCTGTCTTGCGAGGAATCAGCCGTTGGAGCGAGAGGAGCTGCGGGCCTTCGGATGATGGGCTCGGGGCTGTGGGCTGCTGGCTCCTCCCGATGGGGAAGCTGAGCAGTGCCACAGCCTCCAGTGCAGGCGGGCGGACGTGGCGGCAGCCCCTCTCCCCGGGCGTCCGGAGAAGGAGGGAAAGAGGTGGCTACTTATTGGCCAGTGACCTCGCCTGGGAAGGGCGGGGCGGGGCAGTTCTGAGCCGGCCAGGCCCACCCCGCACACGTTCGGAGGCGGTTAGTGCGCTCGAGAACCCCCGACCACAGCCCCCTAGTTCTCCTCATCCTTCCAATAGAATCAGTCACCCTTTGCTGCTCAATGATCCCAGAAAGCTTTATTTTTGTGTTAATCCTCACCCAAGGGTATTTTTTCCATTGTTTTCCAGACCCGGATGGGGGGTGGGGGGGGGGACGGATGGGGAGGACTCCACAACCTAGGTACGTGTCCTTGACTGGGAATCCAACATGGGACCCTGTGGTGCAGGCCAGCGCTCTAACCACTCAGAACACTGGCCAAAGCTTTATTTTTATTTCTAATGTAGCGCTCCCCAAACTATTAAAGGCGGTGTATGCATGTCTTCTCGAGGCTAGATTGGGAAAACCCTGAAATTAGTTTCTGTTTTGTTCAGCTTTATGCCCCCTCCCATATTGTCCACCGTCATGCGGGCCCACTGCATCCCTTCCACGAGCATGGAGTACGGTCCACTGAAATCAGAACCTCTCAAAGCCCTTTCATTCCCACTTTTCTGAAACTATACAAGGGAAGCACTTCTTTCGTTTACGTAGAAGGATCAACACTTGGTTGTCTCACATGAGCTTTGAGCAAATGTCGGTTTCTAAAGTCTGTGCAGTTATACAGCCGGTCATGAGAGCTGGCTCCACCTGACTTCCAAGTGTATCAGACAGAGAAGTGCATAAATACCCTCTCCTCCCTAGTATTGCCCATATGCCCAAATAATAATGTTTTTTCAATAAATACAAGAAATTTCATAGGTGGCAATGACTTTATTAATCGGGTCCAAAGCTCTGCCTACAGTCTCTAATCTCATGGTTTTGTAGCAAATTCACACAGTAAACTACTTATTTCACTATATCTTTGAGACTTTATTTTCTCTTTTACATCTTCTTTTCAAGTGGGACACTGCACTCCTAGGAATCTAGATCTAGGTTCAGAAAAGAGGATACAGAATTTCTATAGTAGTCAGAGGACGCACCACCGTAGGAGACACACAAATGTTGTGTTACAGAAGGAATGCTCACTCTCTTCTGGAGAAGTGTGAAGGAAGGCCCACATTTGCCAAGGAAGTGAAGTCTCAGAAGCAATAATCCCGTTCTTTTAGGAGCTGCCTTTTTTTTTTTTTTTTTTTGCCAAGACTATCTGCTGACAGCCCCAGGCCCCACCCTAGGCAGCAGATTGCAATGCCATGAAAGACTAAGTAACATTTTACTGTCTCCATTTGTTCTCCCTCAATCAGGATTGAATGTGGAGCAGGTGTGGTCAGCAAAGCAGAAACATACCTAGAAAACTGTCAGTTAGCCTGATCCTAGACTAAGCTCCTGGGCATCTCTGAGGAACCCCATTCCTTCCCAAGGCGGTACAAGCGTGATGAAGGGAATCTTAACAGGAACCAAGCAGTCTGCACGGTATCTCCATTCCAAGAAAGAATGCCAGAAACTTCAGACTTCAAATTAAATCTTCGTTTGTAACAGTTTTCTTTCCTGTGATCCAGTTTCCTCTTAATTAATCAGGAGAGATTTGGACTGTGCATTGTTGGAACTCAGCGTTATCAGATCATGTTGAATTCTGAAATCACTTGGGACAGATTTCTAGATAGAGTAATAAAACCTCTCCCAAATTGTTATAATCCTAGGAGGCAAATGACCTCCATGACGAAAAATTGACATTTTAAAAATAAAGTGGCCTTACTATCAGAAGTAATTAACTTTCATACCTATTTGCACACTATTTGACAGCCTTTTCTATCAGAGAGGTGAACCTCCTGTCAAGATTGGAGAAAAGGATACAGTATTCAAGCCTATAGAACTGCTGTATGAAAAAATGCATTCGTCTCACTGTAAGAACTTTCAGTGCTGAGCTCTGAGCATTTTATCTGGTTTAGTACACATCATAAATGGTTCTTTTTCGGTCCAAATGACCTATCTATCCCATCCTTTTAAAAAGAACTATACAGTGGGGCCTTGACTTACGAGTGTCCCGACTAACGAGTTTTTTGAGATACCAGCTGTCTCTTGGCTGATTTTTTTGCATTGAGTTGATAGAGTAATTTGAGTTAACGAGCTCCTTAACGAGCTCAGTCTTGGAAGGAATTAAACACAAGGCCCCACTGTATTTCAATCTTTTCTTCTTTCTGCAAAGGAGGTTGTGTTATTAAAAACAAAAGGTAGTGCTTCTTACAGTATTCACTTATTTTATCTTTATATAACAATTTGAAAAGACTGTTATAAGTAATCTATGAAATTCAACGTGTGTGTAGGATTAATGTGAAGATTTAAAAACTGATTGGACCAAAATGTTGACCATGGTCTTAACTTAATATGAGCTTAATTTAATATTGTTTATACAATAATTGAGACCTGGGGCTGGAAAACATGACTACTGTCATCCCCTTTATCTGGGCCTCAATTTTCTCATCTGGAAAGGAAAGGTTGGATGAGGTGTCTTCTCAGGTCTGTATGGAATAGAGCTGAAGACAAAAGGAAAAGGCAACTTAGGATCTTTGCTCACTAGGACGAAAAGAGGCACAGGCTTCGAAGCAGACAGACCTGGGTTCAAATCTCAGATCTTATTTGCTTTAGGAAGTTAGATTTCATTGCACTCAGCTATAAAATGGGACCAAGCTATTTTGAGGGCTGATGAGGTTTAAATTAGAACACACCTATAATGTTCCTAGTACAACTTGTGCACATATTTTATGCTTCTATAAATGGTAGGACCATATTTTAAGGTGAAGAAAAACATAAGGCTGAGCACATGATCGATCTAGCAATTTCCACTCTGGCACCTGGAGAAGAAAGGGAGCGAGCAGATCCCTGTCCTTTACCGGCAGAGATATCCCTCTGCCGTGATGAAACCGGAGCCGTCAGGGTCTAAAAAAAGCACCCCATCAGGGGGAAGGCACCACATCTTGGCAAGAAATGCTTCACATACTTTCATCGTCACCAAACACTCTTCCCACCCCACACCCTGCTTCTATTTAAATCCGAGGCACTCCACTGGTTCCCACTCACTTTTTGGGTGCCCAGGCTAGCAGCACGGAAGAGAAGGGTAGCATGACTACGGGAGAGAAAGGAAGGGAGGAGGGGCCAGCCAAGAGTGCCCTGCGGAAGATACACAGGGCCACCCTGGTGATCAACTTGGCCCGAGGTTGGCAGCAGTGGGCAAATGAGAACAGCACCAGGCAGGCCCAGGAGCCCGCAGGCTGGCTGCCCGGAGGGACCCAGGACCCACCTCAAGATCCTAAACCAGTGATACATCCCACTCCCCACCAGAAAGCCCAGAGCGCCCCCAGGTCTCCCTCCCTAAAGCCAGAGGGGCCTGGGGAAGGACCGAGCTCAGGGGAGGCCTCGGAGGTCTCCCCTATCAAAAGGAAAGAGGTGACCAAAACTGTTGTCAGCAAAGCTTATGAGAGAGGAGGAGACGTGAGCCACCTCAGCCACCGGTACGAGAAGGACGGCGGCACAGCTGGCCCTGGGCAGCCGGAGGATGACACCGACAGGACCCTCCACAGCCACGGCTCCCCGACACGGAGGAGAAAGTGCTGCAGCCTGGTATCCGAGCTGACCAAAGGCTGGAAGGAGATGGAGCAGGGCGAGCCCAAGTGGAGGAGCGACAGCATAGACACGGAGGACAGCGGCTACGGAGGGGAGACGGAGGACAGGCCCGAGCAGGACGGAGAGCAGGTGGCCGCCGCCCGAATCAAAAGGCCCTTGCCCTCCCAGTAAGTGCATTCATCCGTGGGCTCCTTGGACTACCACTGAGCCCAGCCAGCTCTGGGAGCCCAGTGAGCAGGGCAGTAGCACGGGGAAGTTAGAGTGAGTCTCAAAGACTGGCAGGCAGGGAGGGCCTGGGGGAAGCCGTGCCCCAGAGCTAGACGGGCAGCGCCCAGCTCAGACGACGACCTTTGGGTAGAGCGCCTCCACTAGGCTGTCTCTCCTTTCCCTTCGAACTCAACACTCAAGTGTTAGCCTCCACGAAAGTGAAACCACCAGAGAGGGTTGGTGGGTGCTTTGGGTAAAATTTTTAAAATCAATTGTATAATGAGTAGCAAATTGGCTTCTCTGTAGAGGAAAGTGCTTGCTGGTAGATTGATTGGCGAGACCTTTCCTTTGTCCCAAATCCATCTGAATTTTATCAGGGGTCGCATCTCCCCCAATAGTGCCCATGGCGCACAGCTCCACGTCTCTGTGACCTGTAATCAGGTAGGGGGCTGCTATCTATCGAGAGAAAGCTCTCAAGTCAGACAGACCCAAGTCCAAATGCCAGCTCTACCCTGACTGTAGTCAATGACACTGTATTACATGCTTGAAAGTTGCTAAGAGTAGATCTTAAATATTCTACACACACATACACGCACACACCCTGATTATTTTTCTAAGCCTATTTCTTCCTTTTTAAAACAATTTTATTGTTGAAAGTATTACATATGTCCCCCTTTTCCCCATTGACCCCTTCTAGCCTGCACCCTTCACCCCCTCTGCCCCAGCCTTCACCACACTATTGTCTGTGTCCATGCGTTATGCATATATGCATACAAGTTCTTTGGTTATTAATCTCTTCCCACACACCTATCCCACCTTCCCGCTTAGATTATTTCCTCCTTTGTAAAATGATGGCAACAGTAATCTCTCAGGATAAATTCTATTGTATTGAGAGAGTAAAGGAGAGTAAGGCTGCCAAGTACTCAGCACAGTGCCTGCCATATATGCTCAATATATGAAAGCTGCTATTATTCATGTAGATTCCATTATTTAGCACTTATTCAAACTCTCAGAAAGAAAGGCATCTGTAAACAAAGAGAAATGCTATTAAAGCTAGGTAATTCAAATACCACAAGCCTAAAATATTTAGATGCTAAACATGTACATACACACACATGTGTGTACACACAGACTGAAACTACCATACTTATTCAGACAAGAAACACATGCTTTATTTTAAGACATGAACTCCACCTCCACGTACTAGCAAGTCAGGATATCTCACTCCACAACACAGGATATCACAATATGGGAAAAGTCACTGATGTAATGAATGCCTTTAAACTAACTCCCTCTGGGAACAGTGAGATGTGTAGGTGTGCTTTTCAAGTTTTATGAAACAACCAGAAACTAAAGAACATAATTGGTTACCTAATTTGACAAAGAGCTGTCTTACAGTGTGTGACGTTACAGGTATTTTGAAGGAATTAGAACTATTATATTGCAAACTTTCAAGAAAAATGAAATGTCAAACAGATCATTTTAACAATCCCTTGTGTATATAGTGTGCTCTATGGGTATTTTACATGCTTTTCCCTTTTGATGCTTATAGTCCTATAAAGAATTACCCCATTTTAGGCAGGAGAGCACTAGAGCTTGGAGGGGAAGTTTACCTCGCAGGTTAGTGACAAAGCTGAGACATGCCTGTCTGCCAATGCAATTCTTAGACATGGAGCCCACTCTCATGCAGTGCCTTGAAGATGTGACCAGAGATTTGGATTTGTGCTCTACTTATATTTAAATAGGAATTCATAATCAGAAATAATTATTCTACCAGAAATACAGGCTGTGTGCGTGTGATTGTGTGTTAGAAGGAGAATAGAGCCCAACAGAATAAAGACTGAGCTTGGCACAGTGAAGAGCTTCCTGTCAGCACATTTGAATTGGCCAGAGGCAGGGACTTGACAGCTGGGACCAATCTCCAATTCATGTACTCTCCTCTGGTATTTGTCTGAGCACTCTTCATATGTTTATCCATTCAATCCTCACAGCACTCTCATGGGCTAAGTATAATCATTACCCACACTTGATAGATGAGAACAGGAGACAAAAGAATATTAGGAATGTGTATAAGATTGCACAGCCCACTGGATTTGAACCCAGGCTTCTGGCTCTAAGCTCTCTCACCTGGCAGTGGGGACTTGCATTCAGGGCCTGTCTCAGGGTTCCTGAAATCAGGCATGTGCATAGTCACCTTCTTAGTGTGATGGAGAGGAGCTTAAGCTTTGAATGAGAGACAGATTTGAATCACAGGTCGGCAAATCCTAAATCTCTTTGTCCTCATCTAAAAATAGGGATGAGAATTAGTTATTTTTATAATAATTATGTAAAGCAATGGACCCAGAGGAGTTACTGAATAAGTTATACTCATTCCAATGCAGGGGGCCAGCCCTGGTGATCCCAGCCCTTCAAGGTGCTACTAGGAGCTTGGCTCTCAGGCTTGGCCAGCAGGGAGTGGGAATGAAATCTCTCCCTTCTTTGGTTCCTTTCCCTCTGTCTTACAAGTACACAGGGCACCAAAATGTGTGCAGCCACAGCAGCTCTTAATGTCGCGGTTATCCTAGCTGTGCTCAGAAGGCTTCAGTGGGAGCCTATGGGACTCTCAAATGCTGCTTGAGAAACAAATGTGGCATTAAGTAAGCCTATAGAAAAGGAGTTTTCACTTACTTTTAATTAAACATTCTTTCCCCATATCCAACAATAGGGAGAAAATTATGTATCATGAATATTTAAGTAGAAAGATAGTTTTGTTGGTAGTTAATAGAAACAAACAAGTCACTTTTGGTAAAAAGGAGAGATACCCCTTACAAACAGTGGTTTTGCTAACTGGGGTTTTACTCTGAAGATGGTTTATAGTGTATCCTTCATTTAAAAAATATTTAGCCTTTTATTGTATAGCTATGATTTGTTCATTCTAGCTCCTTTAGACAAAGGACATTGGATCCTTCTCCCATACAGAAATGGTGAAATATTAAAGAGCCAATCACTCATCCATCCTCTCCTCCAAGTTTTATTTAGTAAAAATACTAGTAGTTGAGCATGATGGTGCCATCTTGTAGATACGGGAACCAACATACAGATAGTAAGGAACGTGTCTCAATCAGAGATAGTAAGTGATGATCTGGGAAGGCCGATGCCAGAGCTTGTGTTCTTAACCACCTGCTAGACTGATTCAGTAGAGAGCAGACACAAGGAATAAAATAGAGATCAAAGTGTCAGCTTAATTAGTGGAACCCCAATAACTCCCAAACTGTAGGGGTTTGGTTCAACTATGTATATTGAAGGACTCTGATAAAAACAAAGGCAACAGTGTGGCTTTCTACTACTTGCTCTCCATCCTAGAGTTTAGACCCCCCTTTCCATGGACCCAAGGTCAGTTACCAACCTGCACGGAGAATCGCAGGCCTGGCTCTCAAACCTGGTTGATAACAGGAGAGCAAAATTATTATTATTTAAAAATATTTTTATTGATTTCAGAGAGGAAGAGAGGGATAGATAGAAATATCAATGATGAATCATTGATCAGCTGCCTCCTGCACGCCCCCTACTGGGGATCCAGCCCACAACCCAAGCATGTGCCCTTGACCGGAATTGAACCTAGGACCCTTTCGGTCCACAGGCCAACCTTCTATCCACTGAGCCAAACCAGCTAGGGCAAATTATTGATCAAAGATAGTGACCCTACCTTTTGAATGCAGTCACCCTGCTTCTGATAAATGTGACCCTGTGGACGTCATGCTCCCATGATGTCTAATTGGCTATACTTCCTGTGGAAAAGAGCAAGAAAAGCGAAGCACAGAGAAGCAGATTATTCCCAGGACGTCCCTGAGAAGCTGGAAGGGAGAGCAGGAGTTCTTTGCTTTACTGACAGAGAAATGTTCCTGGGCAGTGAAGAGAAATCCTCCCTTCACAGGAGAGTCTATGAGTGGGACAACCAGAGCAGATCTCCACCTTCTTGATACAGATTCAAGACTTAGACCAGGAAAGTTCACCTATAGGCCTCCTCACTCTGAGGCTGGTGATCCAGATGAGATCAGAGAGAGTGTTTTCCATGTCAATGAACTTGGTTAGGTTTGAAATATACCTTTAGGACTTTCATTTGCTGTGGGTTTTGTTCATACTTAATAATTTACTCACATATTGCACCAAAATGATAACATTGGTTCTCATATTCTCATCATGTAACTAATGAGCCACATTCACATAAGAAAGCAACACTCAAACTGATGTCATTTTTAAAGTTGACAAATAAGGACTACATTTCAGAATTTATTTCAACAAATAAACTTAGACTTTCCAACACAGAATGCTTATAATGCCTAGTAGAATTAGTTACCTTGCACATACCAGGACAGGGGAAATTTTTATTGATCAAATATAAGGAAATTTGTTTATTGATAATGAAGAAACTAAAACGATAAATTTGGATTAAATATTACTATCTGCAATGTTAAATATTGCTTTGCTTCTTATAAATTTATACTAGAATGTCTTCCCAAATCTCAATCTAAACTATTATGCACATTTTTACTTGTAAATTAAAACAAAAACAAGATAAGCTGTATATTGATTCTTATATTCACTGACCAAGAAGATACTTAAGATATAAGTTTTTCTAATCCTGATTTAAAACTGCTATTTTAAGACTTTTTAAAAACTGGAAAGACAAAAAGGATACAGAACCTTTGTGAGATAGAGAAAAATTTAATACCCATTAAGATATATAGCTCTATTTTTAAAGTCTTGCTTATAGAACCAATTCATATGTTTTCCTTCCCTCCTATTATTGAGAATTACAATTTGACAATATGACAAATACACATTAATATTTAAAAGGTGCTTCTTTTAGAAGATAAATGTTTTTCTTCTTCATAGATTTATAACCTCACCAACCCCGATCTTTTTTCCAAATGACATAGAATTTCAAAACTCAGGGAATCTAAGTTCCTAATTAAAATTAGAAGAAAAAAAAAAACCTACTTCAAAGAATCAGAGAGCCAGCTAAAATATGGTGAAACAAATTACCTCTGGATGCTAATCTGAGATTTTTCTTAATTTTTGCTTTCTCTGAATTATAAAATCAATATAATACCTAGATGAATTTTTTTAAAGATGGGAAAAAATCAGTTATCATCTGGACACCAACATAATTCTTTCCAGTTGTGCATACACCATTGATTCCTTCAGCCTGGTGCATGCACATTTCACACAGTTGAAACATACCACATACTCAAATTTGTACTCTGATTATTTTCATGAATATCTTTTTAGTGATGATTTGCTGTTTTTCTTCACATTATTGAATACCCAATACATAACTAAAACAGTGTCTGGCACACAGTAGGTATCATAAATACTTAAATAAAGAATGAAAAAAAAATGTCAAAGTGCCCAGAAGCTCCTTAAAGAGAGGATGTGTTGTGTATTATACTATAGGACAGAACTATAGCTGGTGCTCAGGAGACAAAAAGTATGAATTAGTGGATAATGTTTTTCTTTTCACTTTCTTCTGAGAATTTCCCAGCCTCAAATCAACTATGTATGACCTTTGGGTTCTGCAGGGATGGCCCTGGGCTTGCTAGTAAAGGCTATGCCTGTCAGATTGCCATGGTCCCAAGGGCACAGGTGTTTGCTCTCCTTTGATAATGAGATCAAGCAGTCAACAGTCTGGACAGCTGAACAGGGATAGTCTGTGGAGAAGGAGGAGATGGTGAGGACCAGCAGGGCAGAGAAATCTATTTCACTTCAATGTGATGCAATTCCTAGCACTTTTCCATACATATATGATATTTTAAAGTTGTAATAATTGTCCATAGTTTTTGAATGCTGCTTTTTCCCAGTTAACGCTGTCATGTACTTTTGTTCATGTGCTACAAAGAATAGCAGTGTTATATGGAGCAGTGTATTCCTAGTTTGAATTTTATTGTTATAGGGTAGGACTTTTGGAAACATAAAGCGTGGGAATTAATGACAGTTCGCCCTCTAGTGGATGTCATTCCTTTCTTGAAAACAATGCTAATACACATATGCATGCCATCCTATGCATCTATTAGCCTCCTGCATTTGAATAACCAGAGGTCAGGAGGTGAGTCTGTATAGTGAGGAATACCCACATCTGAAACTGTTCCTGGGTTTTGAAAAGTGAACTGTGGGAGTTTGGGTAGGAGGGCTACTTAGTTCAGGTCAGCCATGCTCCTGAGCAAATTCAGCACTGCTCTGCCTCTCCAATCCCAATGCTTCCAGACAGGAGGCCACTTGGCTTTCAGGAGGAGGAAGGGTGGGTCACTTGTGAGGATGAGGAATAGGAAGCTCTGGCTTTCACATAGTCTAACAGATCATGTTTTCTCATGAAGGCAAAGGAGATCCAGGGAAAAAGTCTAGGAGATTAGAGATACAGAAAGGACAGGGAGGTCTTTTAAAGACAAACTGCCTATTTTAAAATTAGGCCTGCACCCAGGACACTTGCCAACGCAGTTATTTTTTTTATAATAAAAAAATGCATTCCAGTCCTAACCGGTTTGGCTCAGTGGATAGAGCGTCAGCCTGCGGACTCAAGGGTCCCAGGTTCGATTCCGGTCAAGGGCATGTACCTTGGTTGCGGGCACATCCCCAATGGGGGGCGTGCAGGAGGCAGCTGATTGATGTTTCTCTCTCATCGATGTTTCTAACTCTCTGTCCCTCTCCCTTCCTCTCTGTAAAAAATCAATAAAATATATTTTTTAAAAAATGCATTCCAAATTGCAAGGACATACATACACATGTGACACAACTCCTTCCATGCTGAACAGCATCATGGCACAGTGGAAATAACTTTAGCCTCAGAATACCAGCACATTGTGTTCAATACATGTTACTATTGCTAGCCAGTGTCTTCTATCTATACAACTTGATATTTTAAAATTGTGGCACACCACTGATACTAGTATAGATTCAATCTCATTAAAAATCCATAGATGAAAATCTACATGTAAATGAATATTACAATGTATGTGTGCTGGTATAAGCCTTATTTTGGGGGAAATAGCTGGTTTTTGAAGTTCTATATAATGTAGATTTATATACTTAACTATAGGCCAAGTGCATGAGATTTGTGCACAGGTAGGGTCCCTAGCGGTTGCTCGCCACCGGCCAGGGCCTCCCTTCCCCAGCTGCCAGCAGGGGTCTCCCTTCCCTGGCTGCCAGCTGGGGCCTTCTTTCATTCCATGCCACCCCTTGGTGGCCAGCACACGTCATAGCGAGTGATCGAACTCCCAGTTGGTTGAACTCCAGAGGAGACACTTTGCATATTAGGCTTTTATATATATAGATACATTCATGATTCCAGTTTTAAAATGTTCTTAATATACAATTTAAGATACATGTATTTGCATTACATTTGTGTAAGGAAGCTTTTTTCTTAAAATAGTTTAGTATTATTATTTTATGGTGCTTAAAACCTTACTGTTATTTAGATAAAATAATCTAGAAGGCCATACACCAAACTAAAAACAATGGTATTTTTCTTCTTTCATTTCTAATTTCTTTGTATTATGTTTATATGTTTTTTTCATAATGAAAAAAAAAGAGAGACTTACGTTATGATGCATATGTGCAAGAAGCACACGAGAGAGCAACACTTGTGTGGTAAAATATCAGTGTGTTGATCCTTCACACTTTTTCTCCTTTAGGGCAAATAGATTTACAGAGAAACTCAACCGCAAGGCCCAACGGAAATGCAGTCAATTGCAGGACCTGAAAGGAAAATGGCAACAGTGGGCTGATGAACACATACAATCCCAGAAGCTCAACCCTTTCAGTGAAGAATTTGATTATCAGCTGGCCATGTCCAACCGCCTCCACAAGGGAGACGAAGGCTACGGCCGTCCCAAGGAGGGAACCAAAACAGCCGAGAGGGCCAAGCGAGCCGAGGAACACATCCATCGGGAAATTATGGACATGTGCTTCATTATCCGCACAATGGCTCGCCACAGACGTGATGGCAAGATCCAGGTCACTTTCGGAGATCTTTTTGACAGATATGTTCGTATTTCAGATAAAGTGGTGGGCATACTCATGCGTGCCAGAAAACACGGACTGGTGGACTTCGAAGGAGAGATGCTATGGCAAGGCCGAGATGACCATGTTGTGATTACTCTACTCGAGTGAACCTTCAACAGCAAAAGCCAAACTTGACCCACTATTGTCTTAATGCTAAATGCTAATTTAGTCAAATTAAAATGCAAACTGTTCTGTAATAAGTAGGATATATTAAACAATTTTTACATGAATGGCTTCTGGGTACTCTATTTCTGAGGAAGTTTGAAGATTTTTGATAAAGCACACACAAACATTTGAAATTCTACTTATCCTTTTAGGCAATAATATTTGGCTATTCATTGCAGACATTATTATAGATCTTTAATGAAATAATTACTACCTCTAAGAAGAGTGCTGAGTTTAGGTACATATCAGCAGTACATATTATTATGTCATTTTTCAGGAAAAAAAAGAATTCCATTAAGTTTTGCAAAACAAATCTTAAAACTTTTCTAAGAAGCTTGACTTTGTATTATTATTTTAATCATAGTATCACTTACAAAATATGCACACAAATAAAAAATTAAGATTTCAAATAAAGTAATGAAATTGTTCAAATTTCTCTGTGGGCTTCTTATGATTTAATAGGTTTCCACAGTTAGCCATGCCTCTTTGTCATTTGTGCAAATCACATGAAAACAGATATCACTGGTGGTCTTGGAACCAACCAATTGGAAAGGCGGTTATGTTCACTTTTGCTATAAAAGTAAAACAGAGATGAGAGATCAGATTTAACTGCCCTCAGAGGACTTCTTGGAGAAGTTTATTTTTTCTCAAAACTGTAATGTCATGCTGCTTATATGTATGTCAACATATAATGAAGTAGTAGTACAGAAAATTCTACAATAAAGTAGAATGTTTATGTACCTTTTCTTCATACTCTAATAAACTTTATAAAATATCTGAAAATTATAAAACAGCAATATTAGACCTGCCACAGTGAAAAAGTTAGTTTAATATGATGCCAAAGAAATATTTGACACTAAACAGCTATTTGTCATTTTTTTCTCAATCAGATTTAATGTTCTTTATATAATTATAAAAACAAACTGAAAAAATGATTGTAATTCTTACTGAATTCAATAAAAATTACTAAATTATATAGCACTTTGGTGTTAAATATAGAAATTAATGTCAAATTATCATACCTCAAAATAATAAATTCATAATTGTTAGGTATTAGGTTTACTATAAATATGGATTAAACTACTATAGAAATTAGTTATTTTCATTTATGATTCTTTTAAAATTAAAGTTCCAATAACTTCTTAAAGAGGGCTTGTATATTTGTTTTTATATAATTTAATAATATAATTTGTAATTTAACAAATGACCAATATTCCTAAGTAGAATTTCATGTAAGATGTACACTTCTATCATAATCATGAGCCGATGTCAAAATTCTAAGATATGGTACAAGAATAAAAGACATTTTCTTGTATTTCCTGTTCTTGTGTTTAGAACACTTGCTTCCTTAGAGGAAAATGACTGCTATGGGACAGATTTTTATCTTAAAAATCCCATGGTAGAAAAACCCAGTGGAAAATTTAGGGCTTTTAGAGAGAGAGAAAAAAAAAGTAGAACTCAGAGGGCAAACAAACTAATAAAAATCCTCATATTTTCATAATCACCAAAATAGTATATGAAAGAATTATAATAAAATATACTATCAATGGCATTTTACTATTGGTAGTTCTAAACTTCCAATAACGGGTCCTATATAATTGGTTTCCAAATCTTCAGGATTTTCCTTTACCAAACTTTCCATAAGATATTTAAAGAGTTTCTGGGTTGTTGACATGTACTATATTTTACCACTTCTATCTGGACCTCCAAATGTTTGATGGCCTTTTAACGTTTATAACTTGAAGTTTTATGACTTCTTCCTTCTCAAGTTCACCCTGGCCACTTACACCAACAGGAGAGAAGTTCTATGCTTGGGTTTTCTTCCTTCCCCCACAGTTGAAAAATGAGGCTGGACCTATATTCTTAGTTTGCCTTTTTGCTCTTTCCTTTCCCTTCCCAAATTCAAGTTGTTTCCTTCTTTACTACTACCAACAGGTGTACCTATCAGGTGCTGTGGGAATAATTCTGGGTAAACTAGAATTTTGTGTTTCAGGGACTCAGGGAACAACTGCTGTACTTTCTCTCTTAAGTCACTCTGTTGGGGGATTATAAAAAGGAGCAAGAGACCATGTGGTCCATACTAAGGTGGCCTCTTAATGCAGATGATTCCGTGGGATTCCTAGAATATTTATTTTCATTCCCATTACCTAGGATATTTCTTAGTACACAATTTATAAATGTGCTATGTGACCTAACTTTAGTCTAGAGCAGTGGTTCTCAACCTTGGCTGCACATTAGAATCACGGGGGAATCTTTTTAAAATCCTGATTTCTGGGCCTCATCCTCCAGAAATTGTTTCTTTGTTACTAATGTTGTGGCCTCACCCCATAACAAAGAAACAGAATTTCCGGAGGATGAGGCCCAGAAATCAGGATTTTAAAAAGATTCTCAGGTGATTCTAATGTGCAGCCAAGGTTGAGAACCACTGTAGACGTTTTCAGAATGCTGTGGTTGACAATCATCCCAACAAGGTTAGCTGATAACATGTATGCCCAGATTTTGAGGGCATGCCAGTATCTAACAAGATTACATAGCATTTACTTTTTGACCAAGAAATTTCACTCTTTAAAACTCCCCTGAAGATACTACTCAAACAATATGAAAATACATATGTGTAATGCATTATTTTTAATTGCAAGTCACTGCAAAAAACCTAATACATATGGGAAAATGATAGAATAAAACATGGTACATCCATATAATGTATGCAGCCCTAAAAAAGGAAGATCTTTAATAACTGAAATAGTTATTTAGAGAGCATGTGTGTATACACACACTAGATTTTATACACACATATATACACACCCTGGATTATATGTGTGAACATGTCATATATATACACTGAGTGGCCAGATTATTATGACCACCTGACGTTTGTAGGCAAATTAGCTATAATTTCCCACTGAAGTTGCTAGAGGGCAAGATCATTATAAACGTCTGAATAGCACAACATACCTAAGTATTGTTGCTGATCAAGTTCATCCTATCATGTTGATGGCATATCCCAATGGAGATGGCTTCTTCCAACAAGACAATGCGCCATGCCACGGTGCTTGTATTGTGCAGGAGTGGTTTCAAGAACATGAGGGAGACTTTACCTTGCTTAGGTGGCCCCACAATCACCAGATCTCAATCCAATTGAGCATTTGTGGGACAGTTAAAAGAGCCATCAGGCAGCTGGTTCCACAACCATCAAATCTCACAGAACTGGACTGTGCTATTCATCAGGCTTGGTGTCAGAGTCCTCACATCACCTTTCAATATCTCGCGGAGTCAATGCCAAGAAGAATTGCCGCAGTATTGAAGGCAAAAGGTGGCCCAACGAAGTACTGATGGGGTGGTCATAATAATCTGGCCACTCAGTGAATATAAAACCTCCATTTTGAAAATAGGGATGGGTGGAAATAAGTTGAGACAGAAAAAAGTTCTGTAGAATTTGGATTTTGGAACCTTTTAAATGTTACATATACAAAAAAGTAAAATTAAACAAATGAATAGGAAAAATATAAATTGAATACAAAAATAATAACCATAATTCTATTTCAAATGATTAAAATAAGCACACAGGAAGGAAAAAGAAATATACATAACCTTTGAATACAATCCAGAGACAAAAAAGCTGCAAAGAAACGCTAAAATCTAATTTTGTTTGTGAGGGTATGGGCGTACAATTCTGAAACTATGTCTTAGATGAAGAAAATGAGTAAACATACTGATGACCTCAGTGTGGGAGAAGAGACACAAACATGGAGGGGAAAGACGAGGAAGAATCTGTAATGCTAAACTGGTTAGAAGTATCGGTGTGCATTTGTGATGTGTGCATTTATTTCCTCCCTCTGTCTCCCGAGAGGCCCTAGAAGCAATGCCACCCCAGCGGCAACACGCTAACATCCAGATTTCAAAATGCCATCCTCCTTAAAAGAAAACATGTCTACGTGGAGAAATGACTAATTCTAGGATGGGTTACAGAAAGTATAGTTAAGTTTGGAAAATCGTGTTGCACCAGAAGCAAGCAAGGTTCAAAGACATGGAGAAATGCACAGAAGCCAACTATTGGGGTTCCCATTGGTTAACTCTAGGGCACAAATAGATTATTCAAGACTTGGAATTAAGAAAAGAAGCCCACTAGTCATACTAATAATGGACACTGTGGGTTCTTTTTTTAAAAACTAACCTCATTATTTTATTATTATTACATGCTTAGAGAGAGGGAGGAGGGAGAGAGGGAAGAAGGATGGGAGGAAGAAACACCTATTGGTTGCCTTCCATTCATGCCCCAACAGAGGATCAAACTTGCAACCCAGATATGTACCCTGACCAGGAATCACACCAGTAACCTTTCGGTACACAGGACACTCAACCAACCAATGATCCACTCTGGCCAGGCAATGATAGATAATCTTAAATGATGGAACAAGGAAAACTCTTCCTTACAGTAAATGCCAAATAATAAATGTGCTGAGAGTAAAAGAAAAATGATTTTACAACCATTTTAGTAATTCAGATAAGAATCATCAATAGATACCAAGAACATTGTGAAAAATAGAGTATCTATGATATCAAAGTACCTCCCTGCACATTCCTTATTACAAAAGGAAACATGATAGCAGCAGAGAAACATGGTGCACACTTTCTTCATCAACTAATGGCAGCTTTCACCAATAAGGGGATAAACATAAATCCTAATATGATACAGAGGACAGAACATCGCTTCTGTGGTTTTGCTGCCAAAAATGCATAACTTAAATTTAAATATAGGAAAAATTCAGATAAACCCACACTGAACTCTTCCAGGTTGAAAATAAAGAAGATAGAATTAAATGCAATGAAGGATCCTGGATTGAATTATGTATCAGAAAAAAAAATGCTTTAAAGGATATTAGAACCATTGGTGAAATTCAAAAATGAACTATATATTCAATGATATGTTAAATTTCCCGAATTTGATAATTGTATACTTAAAGGACCTAAAAGGATATCCTTGTCTTTAGGAGATACATGCAAATGTTTATATGTATGGTTTGAAATAATAGGTGAGTGGGTGTGTGGAGAAATAAGGGAGATTCTGGGGAAAGGAGAAAAGAAAGGAAATAGTTCAATGAACATTCTAGTACATATCTCTTGGTAAACAAATGTATACATTACTGTTAGGTATATACCAAGAAATTAAATTTGCTGGTCAAATGCTCACCTTTAGTACATACTTCCAAAACAGTATTCCAAAGTACTTTAACTTCACATTTCCTTTTAAGATAGCTTTTATTGGCTATTTTAATATTCTTAGGAATTGCCAGTCTTCTGCCTTTTCTTCTGAACTTCTTTGTAGTCATTTATACATTGTGTATGAGACCTTCATTAGATCTGTGTATTACAAAAACCTTTCATTCTGTTGATTTTCAACTTTTTATCTTTTGATAAAAAGCTCTTAAAATTGTAATGTAGCATATCACTTTCTCCTTTATTTTGTGTTCCATTTAAGAAATATGTGTATCCTAAGATTATGAAGCTATTCTTCTATATTTTAAATAAAATAGCGTTATTGTTTTACTGTTCACATTAGGATATATAAGTTGTAATTAATTTTTGTATGTGGTGTGATAGGTTAACTTTTTTATTCCACAGACATCCAATTAATTCAGTGCCATTTACTGAAGAAAAAAAAATCTTCTCCATTGTTTCATCTTTTAAAAAATTCAGAAAACATTATGTAGTATCCTTGTCTTACTATAGCTTTTGTTTTAAAGTCCATTTTGCCAGATATAAATATTGCTACACCAGCTTTTTTTGCCTTTCTACTTGCATAAAGTATCTTTTTTTCCATCCCTTTACTCTTGCCTGTATCTTTCATTCTGAGGTAGCTCTATGGAGACATATATATAGGTCTTGTTTTCTTATCCATATGTACGTCTTCTTATCCATTCAACCACCCTATGTCTTTTGATTGGAGCATTTGACCTATTTACATTTAAAGTAATTATTAATAGGTATAAAACTGTTCTGGAATTTTTTTTTTTTACAAAGACTTAAGTTTTGGTATTAAGTAATGCTAGCTTGAAAACAATAAGAAGTTATCCCTTTTCTCAGTGCCTTGAGTTTATGTAACACTGATAGTTTTAGAATTACCCAATAGAACCATGAGTCGATTTTTTTTTTTTTTTTGTTTTTTTTTTTTTTTTGTGGGAAGGCTTTTTCTTTAACAGACTCAATTTCTATAATGTAAAAATTATAATTTATATTGGGTCAGGTTTAATAAGTTGTTTTCTAAAACATTTTTCCACTTCATCTATAATGTCAAGTTTATTGTTGCAAAATTATTTACAATACTCTCTCTTTAATACAGGCTCTATGCAGTGGTTCTCAACCTTCTGGCCCTTTAAATACAGTTCCTCATGCTGTGACCCAACCATAAAATTATTTTCGTTGCTACTTCGTAACTGTAATGTTACTACTGTTATGAATTGTAATGTAAATATCTGATATGCAGGATGGTCTTAGGCAACCCCTGTGAGAGGGTCGTTCGACCGCCAAAGGGGTCACGACCCACAGGTTGAGAACTGCTGCTCTATAGTGATGTTTCCTTTTAAATTCTTAATAATGGTAATCTTTTTCTTTATCTTATTAGATTTACACTTAAAAATATATATATATATATATATATATTTTATTGATTTTTTACAGAGGAGGGGAGAGGGATAGAGAGTCAGAAACATCGATGAGAGGGAAACATCGATCAGCTGCCTCCTGCATGCTCCCCACTGGGGATGTGCCTGCAACCCAGGTACATGCCCTTGACCGGAATCAAACCTGGGACCCTTCAGTCTGCAGGCCGACGCTCTATCCACTGAGCCAAACCGGTTAGGGCTAGATTTACACTTTTATTATTCTCAGATTTGTTTCATGTATTTGTTTTAAATTTTATTGATTTCTGCTCATACCTTTATTTTGTCTTACCTTCTATTTTCATTAGGTTTAATTTGTTGTTCTTCAGCTTCCTGTGCTGTAAGCAGAGAGCCTTTTCTTCTATCATTTAATGTTTCTATACCCCAAAAATCTATTTGAAGATTTCTCTCTTTTCATTCAGTCTATAATCTTCAAAGGTATAGCACACCTAGGATATGGTTTCAACATCTACCTGTATGTTGTTGCTTTAAAATTTTTTTCATCAGAGCAGAATATTAAATCCCCCCTCCCAAATCTATTCAATTTCTCACATCATACTAACACAAGGTCCATAGTAACCCACCTGCTTTTTTCTCCTTTCTGTGTATCACCCAACTTGACAAATAATATACCCAGTTTCTAAGTAAAAAACCAGACAGCTATCCTTAACTCTTCTGACATCCAATAACCAAATCCTGTTTATTCTAATCCTAAACCTTTCTAATCCATGCCTCCTTCTTTAATTACCACTGTTACTAGTCTTCTTCAGGCTTTAATATTTCCCCTTTGGTCTTTACAATGGGACTTGTCTCTAGTTTTTCTCTTTACCAATCTGTTTTTCAAAAATTTTTTAATTACTCATACAAGATTTTAAAAAATTAATTTCTTGGCACTGCACACAACAAACCTCTTTATGACATTAGTCATACCTTGCTATGCACTCCCCTTCATAAAAGAAAACAACATAATTTAAAAATATTAAATGATTTGCACTTCTCCACATGCCAAGTGTCCTTACTTTCCCATTTTAAAACTGTGTTGCTCCCTTTACTTGAACGCACCCTTTTATTACTACTACCAGCACCACCATCACCACTATCACCAGCACCACCATCACAAGTCGTCACCACCACTATAATCATCACCACCACCACCACCACCACCACCACCACCACCACCATCACCTCCATCATTAGAAACATTTTTATATCTAACAGATAGGGATATGATTAATCAAAGATTTCTTAATATGAAAGTAAACTGCTTTTCAATAAATCCAAACTCAAATTTATATTTATATATTTAATTTTATTTGGTATACACCACTATGACCTTATTGTAATTGAAATCCAATCAGGATTTTTTTTTAGGATTAGTCAACTCCACAAAGACAATAATACTGCTGTGGAAGACCAAATGGGGGGAAACCCAATATATTTATTTACAATTCCCTATTTGTAAACACTTAATCTATATACTATTAAGTTATAATGAGAGAGCTTTACATAGACAAGAAAATGATGCCCTGCATTTCTATTCATATTCAGCAATAGCATATTAAATAGAACATCAAATTTTCTTTTCCATTAGCATTATGCTTTTTTAAGATAATTATCTAAATTTTCAAAAGATCTAAATATATTTAAGTGCTATACAACTAAAACTACTAAGCCAACATATTTGGCTTATAATTTCATTTTTAGAATAATTTAAAGTGCTATAAGCAACCTGGCAATCCATACTTTCTATAAGAACAAAACTATCTTTAAACATTAATTTACAAGATAATATACACTGTTTATCTGGAATAGCTGAAATTTCAGCACAAAGTCACTGTCACATGTATAACAGCAGGATTTTGTTTGCATAACATGAAGCTTTGAAATTAACTGAATTATTGCCATAATGGCTTATTATTGGTTTCCCACAAAAGAGGATAAGAACTACTAGTATATTCTATCTTTTTTTTTTGAGGTCACTTGACAGTAAGTTTGCATATTCAACAAGTCTACTGAGTTACAATTGTCTACTATTATCATTGCCCTTTTATAACAGCAAATGCTAATGGTAACTAATAACTAAAAAAAAAAAAAAATCAAGTTTTTTTTTTTTCCTTTTGAACAGGAACCTATATTTTGGGAGCTGGTGTGCAATAAGGCTAAAACAACATAACTATAAAACAGTATACCTGACACAAATGTTGAAGAAATACGCAGTTGTTTTGTAGTTTTATATGTATAATACTCTGCTAAGCTATAAATATGTAAGTAGACTATTTTCTTGCTTGATATATTAAATCCAGTAGAATCATCAAGTTCTCATTCTCCTTTGTCATTTTATAATTCTTTATCAGTTAATTCAGTGATGAAAGCATATGCCCAAACCTGCAGATCATGCACATTGCAGTCTATTTCAACCAGAATTCTCCTCAAATTTCATTTTTATTAAAATGAAATTGAGAGTATTTGCAAAATTAATGAAGAGAATGTTGTAGTGTGAACTAGAACTCAGTGGTCCATAAAGTATGCATTTATTTGGCATGTGTTTTTTCCTTCTTAAGAATGACTAAGTTTAGCATGTTCAAAATTCATCTGTGCCAACCTTATAGATAGAACAGTATCTAGTCTTCATTCCCTCAATGCCCCAATTAGAATGATCTAGTTAAACAATATAGTTTTAAAAATAATAAACCAAAACAGGTTCAACAAAAGAGCACCATCCTTTTAGGAGACTGAGATAACATGGATTGTAGGTAAGGTCGACACTATGATCAAAATGCTGCCATAATTCTGACAAAAACCCAAGCTTTTATACTACATGGACCTATACCATGGTCTAAACCTAAAGAACTCTGGGACAGAAAACATGATTTTAAAAATAAATTCCAAAATTATAACGGTAATAAATGGTGATATGGACTAATTTTAAAGCACGAGTAATATGTTACATTGTATTGCTTCTTGAACTTTCCAAATAATGCTTATCCATGTCAGGTTTGGGCCATTATCCTGCTAAGACAGAGAGCATTATATTTATTCAAAAGCCCAGATTTCAATGTCTTGGATAAAGAAATCTTCCTTCTTAGAAAGTGTATTATTCCCAAACGTTTTACAAGAATGGCTTCTTCCATGGTAGAGATCTCCATCAAGCCAAAGGGCAAATTCTCCCCTGCAATACATAAAATAGTTTTAACAATAATATTTTATAACTGAAAAAAAAAAATCAAGTTTTTTCCCCCCTTTTGAACAGGAAACGTATGCCCTGACTTGTAAAATGATAATTGCAGAGCTTGTAAAATAATTTAAATGAGACATTTCAATATCCAACAACTCTAGTTCATATCCAATTATACAATCCTATTACTGTAGAGATCAAGAAATAAAATGAAGCTCTAAAATTAACTTCATATATAATTAACTTTTGAGACAAGTATGGCTCTGTTATTCTTTGCCTGATATTGTGGGTTTCTCTTTAGCTCTAAGGTTTTAATACACAAGCTAGGTCAAAAATAGGTTTACAGTTGTTTGTATTTAAGGTAATATAATACTTAATCGGTAATCATATAAGAATAAACTCTGGCCCGGTCAGTGTGGCTCAGTGGTTGAGATGGACCCATGCACCAGGAGTCACTGGTTCGATTCTTAGAGCACATGCCTGGGTTGAGGGCTCAATCTCCAGTAGGGGGTTGTGCAGGAGGCAGCCAAGTGATGCTTCTCTCTCATCAATGTTTCTATCTCTCCCTCTCTCTTCCTCTTTCTGAAATCAATAAAAATATTTTAAAAATTAAAAAAAAACACCCAGAATAAACTGTTTCGTGTACTCACGACTGTAAACCTACTTTTCTGAATGGTATATTTATAATTTTTCCTGTCAATTATTTCATAACAAGGTCAACCAAAAATGAGTGATGAAAAAGATTTTCAGTAATATATAATTTGGATAATGCTAAAAAAAAAAAAAAAAGAAAAAGGAAAAAAAAAAAAAAGAATGCAAAACCACAATGCCTGACCTGGTTAGGCAGTTTGCAACATGACCTACTGCTAAGGAAAACAACAACTCAACCAAACTAAATCCTCACAGTACAAAGTTAAGAACAGCTTTAAAAATCTGGGCCTCCGCAGCCCAGACCAGAAAACCATATAAAGTGAAACTACTGACTACTCTGGCTTAACAGCGAGAAATTCCTGAGAAATACAGGGTGGGCAAAGTAGGTTTACAGTTGTGAGTAGACCAAACACAGTTTATTCTTGTGTTATTATTTATTATTATTGTGTTATTACCATATGAATAACTGTAAACCTATTTTTGCTCACCTTGTATTTAACATGAGTTGCTCAGAGGCATAAAGTTCCATATTATCTAAAATAAAATGTGGGGTTAAAATGAAGGGTTCAATCTCTAATTCACTGCTAGGAAACGTTAGACTTGAGTTGCTCAAGGTACCACATGTAATGTCTGCGGAAGCTGGAATCTGAACTGGGTCTATCTGATTCCAAAGCTGACATTCAGTATATCACCATCATGATTTTGAGTTCTTCCTGTCTAGAATTCTGGAATATCAAGTCCCTGTAGCTCCCATTTTCTGAGCCTGTACTCTCCTTTTTCAAAGACAGTAAACTTGTCTTAATTTGTTATTAAATTAGCCAAAGGTTAGTTTAGTTTGCTGGAATCATGTTGCATAATTAATTAAAATCAAGTTCTGGCAGAAACTACTGATAAGCAAAATAGATCCAGAGATATAGAAGCACCAACAGACAGACTTTCCCCTCAGAGGGGAGGTAGGGTGTGTAGGAAGAGATCAATTAAAGACCTTGTATGCATATATGCATAACCCATGGACACAGAATAGGGTGGTGAAGGCCTGGGGCGGGGGAAGGAGGCAGGCTAGAAGAGTTCAATGAGGGAAAAAAGGGAACATATGTAATACTTTCAACAGTTAAAAAAAATCAAATTACTTATTGACTCATACTGTTAAAAACAAAACAAATAAGAAAAAAAAGAAACAACCTGAAAACTTGGGGTGGGAAGGATAACTAAAATTTTTTTGCAAAAACATTTTTTATTATTGCCTAAAATATCAGTCCAAATAGTCTCCAGGGTAGAATAACATGAAAACAATTGGACCATCTTTTTGTACATTGGGAGAAGTAACAAACCACTACGGTACTTAAAAATTGGGTAAGTTCTAAAGTATTAGTATATTTCTTTTTCAAATACTAAGGAGTCATTGTACTCTAATAACAGATGGATTTTAATAAGAAGGGAATGAACTAAATAGCATTTTAAAATGAATAAACATATTCTACCAATTGTTTCAAGTACTACACTTAATCACCTTCTTGCAAATAAATTACACTTTCCTAAATATTATGTTCGGATTCTAATGTCAAACTTTCCAAAGATAACTTATTTTATAAATAACACAAATAAAAGTAATATAAATAAAATTTCTTAAAAATCTCATGGCAAAATGTTCAGGAGACTTACCCTCCACCACCAAAAGCTAGGGAATCCATGTCTCCTTTGATAAAAAACATATTATCACCTGTCCACTTAAAGACCTACACAAATGAGAAAAAAAAAACAAAAAACTTTATATATGTAGATGAAACGGTCACTAAACAGTTAATTCTCCTAAACTCCAAACAGTTAACAAAGTCTAGATGGATAGTAAGAGAAACTAGAACAAGAACAAAGCGTTTGGGCAGAAGTTGTGGTGCTTTGGGTTTCACTGTTTGTATGACTAAATTTAAAAGCACATGTTCTACTGTAACGTAATCTTCAATTCCAATTCCTTACCTCTTTTTTTTTAAAATATATTTTATTGATTTTTTACAGAGAGGAAGGTAGAGGGATAGAGAGTTAGGAACAACGATGAGAGAGAAACATCGATCAGCTGCCTCCTGCACATCTCCTACTGGGGATGTGCCCGCAACCCAGGTACATGCCCTTGACCGGAATCGAACCTGGGACCCTTCAGTCCGCAGGCCGACGCTCTATCCACTGAGCCAAACCGGTTTCGGCATTCCTTACTTCTTGACACATACTTCTCTTTTCTGACTATATAGGTATTAAGAATTAAATGGCTAATGAAAATAGTTGAATACAATTGAAAATCAATTTAAAACACTGATGTGGATGTCATTAACTTTTAACGTTAAACATGCATTAATTTGATAATATTGTAATACTAGAAGCCCGGTGCATGAAATTCATGCACGGGGGGGGGGGAGGGTAGAGAGGGGAGGAGAGGGTCCCTCAGCCCAGCCTGCACCCTCTTGCAGTCTGGGAGCCCTCAGGGGATGTCCGACTGATGGCTTAAGCCAGCAGTTGGACATCCTTAGTGCTGCCGCAGAGGCAGGAGAGGCTCCCGCTACCACCACTGTGATTGCCAGCCATGAGCCCAGCTCAGGGCTGCTGGCTTGAGTGGCGCTCCCCCTGTGGGAGCGCACTAACCACCAGGGGGCAGCTCCTGTGTTGAGCATCTGCCCCCAGGTGGTCAGTGCACGTCATAGCGACTGGTTGTTCTGCTGTTCGGTTGATTTGCATATTAGCCTTTTATTATATAGGATTTTGATATAGGGCCAAGGTAATTTCTTTGATATGTATTTTACTTTCATCATCCTATATAATAAAAGCCTAATATGCTAAGTGTCCAGTCCTCCATTCAACCAATCAAAGCATAACATGCTAATGATATGCTAGGGCCACTCAACTGCTCACTATGACATGCACTGACCACCAGGGGGCAGACAGTTGATCAGCCGCTATGATGTGCACTGACCACCAGGGGGCAGACAGTCGACTGGTTGCTATGACATGCATTGACCATCAGGGGGCAGACGTTCCAACCAGTAGGTTAGCTTGCTGCTGGGGTCTGGCCAATCAGGACTGAGCAAAATGGGCCGGATACATCCTGGAGCCCTCCCACAGTCCCTTCCTGGCTGGCCAACTTCCCACATCCCTCCCTGGTCCCAATTGTGCACCGGTGGGGTCCCTTGGCCTGGCCTGCGGCCTTTCGCAATCCAGGACCGCTCTGGGGATGTTGGAGAGCCGGTTTCAGCCGGATCCTGCAGGCCAGGCTGAGGGACCCCACTGGTGCACAAATTTGTGCACCAGGCCTCTAGTTCTTATATAAGCTCATGACACGTTTATAATTTCCATTTCAATTTCTTTAAAGAGCAGAGAGAAAATAAAAAATACTTGAGACATCCAAGGATAAAACTTCTAGATGTTAATATCTCTAAATATTTTTTTCTAAGCTTTCATGGGAGTTTTACCTAAACTTAATACAATAGCAATTTCTAGCACCTTACTCTTACCAAATTTTTCCAAAGAATTCATTATAGTTTAAATAAGATAAACCTTAACACTCACTTTTTCAATTATATAACATTTAATTACATTATAACAATTATCATGTAGAAATAGCATTAAAAGATTTGAGAATAAGCACCATAGAATCTTAAAATTTCTGTAACAACTATAGATTCCAGTGAGGTGTAGGCATCGGTTGATATGTTTTGTGAAGGGAATGGAAAACACTGGCTAATCTGATGAGCCAGTTAAGTGCAAGTTTGTTAAGGAAGTTTCTATTGTATTATCAAATCCTTCCTATTTTGTTCATTATAGAAACTGTTCATAGAGACCACTCATTTTTTTAAAACAAATCTGTTGATTCCTTTTTCAAGATCATAATTTCATCTCTTAGGAAAGGTTTGACATGCTGAGCCTTAATGTACCTGAGATGCTAGGGTTGTACTCAATGTTTTAAACAGAATCACACATTCACTAAAATTCATGTATAACTTTACATTTTAGATCTGATTGGCATTAGAATGTTTTCAATTTAAGTTAGTCAAGCCACTATAAAAAAAAAAGGGTAATCACTTTTGAATAAAACAAAAATAATTTATTTTTTAGGTTTTCAAGATGTACATCATTATGCTTATTTAGTCATTAAAAGTTTCTAGGAATTTCACAATGGCAGTTCATACACAGAATAGCAATAATGCTATACACTCCTTTCTGAGCCCATAATGTGTGTCTGGCACCAGGCCAAGTATTGTACATATCAGATTCTCATCTAATTTTTAAACAACTCTGGTGCACTTTATGGTCTCCATTTTAGCCACAGAAAAAATGAAGCTCAAAATGATAAAAAAGTGATATTTTCAGTGAGTAAAAGGCTGAGATGAGAGACAAGCACAAGTACACAAGACTCCAAAGTGCATGTTCCTTTCATTATGGCATCTATTTACAAATGGAATGTTGGAATAACCATCCTCACCTCAAACTCTGGACGGAAGGTAAAAACAAAGGTTTCTCCAGTACCATAGAAGCCATCACTCACTTTAAATGGCTCACTTGCTAATGCACCGAAAACCTAAGGATAAAAAGAAAGCATATTGTTTTATTAAGCATTATCCTATTATATATGTTTAAGTAAAATGCAAAAAATAAATAAATAAATAAAAGAAATCCAGTATAGTTTTATGTATTTGCACTAACAAAGGGAAACATGATCAGTGGCTATATAATTCACATTAATGCCAAGTACAAATCATATCAGTTTCTCTATTTTTCCAAGTTTTAAAATCTAAAAAGATGCTTATTACAACAAACAGATAATCTTAAAAAGTGGCTCCCACATTTCAGGAGGACTTACATGCACAATGTGTGTACAGTAAGGATAACATGCTGCTGCAGGTGGAGCACCCAGGGAGAAAAAGCCCTTTAGGACAGGTAAACATTCTAGTACTAAAAGTACGCTATCTTTCTCTTCATCAGAGAGTAAACTCCATGAGGGTAGCCCTTGGATCTGAAGTGTTTGGCCCGTAAAGGCCATTGTCTTACATAGTATAAGACACAAAGCAGATACCCTAAAAAAAGAATAAATGAATAAAAAGACCCGAACAAGTCATTTCAATGTTCTCGGTCTAAGTTTCTACATCATAAATGGAATGTAGAGAGCTTGACAAATGATCTCTATATTCACTGTTTTGACTTTCTATTTTCATTTTTAAAATAGACTTTCTTATTGAAAGGTATACATAATACATATATAATATATATATGTAATTTTGAATGATCACTAAGCAAAGTCCCATTTAAGCTTCATTCAGACAAGAAACAGATTACCAGTACTCCAGAAGCTTTCCTTGTACCTCCTCTGCACTCTCACCCTCTCCAAAAGCCACTAGCCCAGCCGTGGGCAAACTATGGCCCGCGGGCCGGCCCGTTTGAAATGAATAAAACTATTGAAAAAAAGGCCCGTACCCTTTTATGTAATGATGTTTACTTTGAATTTATATTAGTTCACACAAACACTCCATCCATGCTTTTGTTCCAGCCCTCCGGTCCAGTTTAAGAACCCATTGTGGCCCTCAAGTCAAAAAGTTTGCCCACCCCTGCACTAGCCCAACAATAACATAGATTTGTTTTGCCCATTTATGAACTTTCTATAAATGGAAAGTTACTCCTCAGTGTCTGATTTTAAACTCATATTATATTTGTGACACTTATCTATGCTAGGCATTAATAGTTCATTTTCATTCTTGCTTTTACTGGGTGTATAACCCTGAGAAAGTTGATACATCTCATAAGTCATAATCAACTCATCTTTAAAACAGGAATGAAAAAAATATCAATCTCATAGGGCTTTGATGATTAATTAAGATAATGCATAGAAAATGATCAGACAAGTGTGCACAATAAGCACACTAAAGGTATCAGTAGAAGTAGCCCTAGTTTTTTAAAAAAATTAGTATCACTATTTCACCCCCTTATTACTCTCTTATGCTGGTAATTGACTTGGACTTGCTGTTTTAGGAACACGTGAATGTTTCCCTTGCTTATCTGTTGTTTTGCTCTTGGTATCATCTTCACACAATTATCTTTTTAATTTTAAAAACTTAACCCATGCTTCAAGACTGTCAATTTCCACCCTTTTTGTGAACCTCATTCTTATCTTTCCCAAATAGATATAAACAATCCTCTCTCTAAGCACCTCTTTTGTTTTCCTTAAGTAATTATATTTACTGCTTGGCATTAGAGACACTAATATAGTTAAACTATGGGTCCGGTGCATGGATTCATACACATGTGGGGTCCCTTGGCCTGCGGCTCTCTGACATCCCCCCAGGGATCCCGAATTGCAAGAGGGCACAGGCCAAGCTGAGGGACCCCACCAGTGCATGATTGGGGCAGGGAAGGGACCACGGGAAGGTTCCAGGGAGTATCTGGCCCGTCTTGCCCAGTCCCGATCAGCTGGACCTCAGTAGCAAGGTAGCCTACCAGTCGGAGCATCTGCCTCTGGTGGTCAGTGCACGTCATAGCTACAGGTCGAATGGTCATTTAGGCTTTTATAGATATAGATATTCTTTTCTACCAGACTATAATCTGTTTGAAGGCAGGAACTCCTTAAAATGCAATCATGTACATATCTACCTTCAGAAGCACTCAGCATTGCCTTGCATATTAAAAGTACTCAATAATTATCAGTTAAACTTAATAAAATGTACTAATAAAAATAATTTTTGTCAAAAGAATATGCTAAAGTTCTGTTATTGTAATCTCTTAAAAGGTAAGGTGTCTATATAGCTATTTTCATACCTGTCCATCACTGTCTTTAATCACCATCAGCACTGGGGTGTCTAAACCTATCATTGTTCGATAAAGAGTCTTCAAGCTTGTGCCATGCTTCCCGGTACCATAAACAAGAGTCCATGGATAGCCAATTGTTCTTGGTGGAAGATGCTTGGTAAGCTTTGAAAAATAAAATGTTAAAATTTACTTGATAGCTTATTGTCAGTTTGTTGGATACTAGTGCCAGTTGGAATTGAATGGTATTTTATAAAATGTAGGCTACAAAAATAACAGTTTATCATTCTGTAAGATACTGAGATGCCTGAAGAGTAACTGTACATTTCTCAGCATGAAATACTTTCTTGTCCAGTAGGAAAAGAAAGAATCATACTGAACAAGATACAAATTAGAACAGACATAAGAAATATGAATTACTTACAGTGCCCTCTGTCTTGAATTGACAAAAACATTAAGTGGACTGTTAACTTGATTATTAAAAACCTCTAAAATAATGGGCTCTAGAGGCAAACTATCAGAGTTAGAAATCAAGCTTCAATATTTTAATATATCTGTGTGACTCTAACAAATTACAAGTGAAGAAACTGTGCCCAAGTTTCTTCACTTATAAAATGCACACAATTAAGAGTATTCAACTCAAGTGTCGCAACAACTACATGAGATAATCCACAGAAAGCAAGTAACTAGCACCCAATAAGAAATTAAATATTGGCTATTGCAGTGGCTCAATCTGAATTGCTAATGTTAATTTTTTTAATGTTTGCTTACCCAAATCTCCCAGTATCTTCTATTACACCAGTTTGCTATATTGTGTTTACTTTTTCTTCATGGGAGAGGAAGACTGGGAGCAATGACCCTGCTTCCCCAGTTTTCAAAACAACTAAACAGAGGCTGTTTTACTCTTGGGGGTATACACTCAGAAATGCTCACATGTGAGTATGCCGTACCTTTTCAATTTGATCTGGCTGTAAGAGTTCGCTGGGATCACTTAGGTTTGGTCTAAAGGATTCAGACTCCAGGTCTGCCTTCACTGGAGCAACCTGCTCTGAATTGATGTCTTCCCTTGTAGTAATCTAAATAAGCAAACAGCAGCAGTATATTAATATAAAATTGCAAGATGCTTTCAAAATTTTAGCCCTTTGAGAGAAATTCAACTTTATACCTTAGAAAAGGTAGCTAAAGCTTTAATTTAGGATTTTAGAAGGCAAAGGATATTCCATTAAAAAATATCCAATGTAGAAAAAGACTTTTTAACTACAAGATGACATTTTTCTCATCCAGTACATGAAGAAGGACAGGTAATGAATGATAAGCCCATACTTATATGGGAAAGGAGAGCGTTGCATGCAAACTTTAATTTTGCTGATGAAGGACAAAAGTGACCCAACTAGCGTGCTTTTTATGTGTGCTATTTAAAATATGTGGGATTATTTTTTTCATGGTAAACATAAAATTTGCCAAAAATAATTCAGAAAACGTCCTCAGTGCTAAAATTTAAATTTAAAGAATAGTACAATAAAAAGTATAATTTCATTGATGTGTGTGTAGTTGCTTCACTGAAAAAGTTACCATTATCTAAAAAAACATGCTTTCATTGTTCTTATGTTCTAAACACTGAATTTTTTTTTATTTAGTTGGACTAAACAAATTAAAAGGTTAACTTGTTCACAAATCTTTGTTTTAAATTAGATCAATTTGATGCATTAAAAAGAATGCTTTTGCTTGATGAAAATGATCTCTTTGATATTCTTAAAATGATAAAAATGTTGATTACTTCAAAACAAACTTATATAATCCCTGCTATTGGCACTTGTTTTCCATATTAATTTTATTTTAATGTATAAAACACAATAACATTAGAGAAGAAAATGTCTGAAACATAACCATCATCAATAAAATTTTTAAATTGAAAAATAGAGTTATTTTGGAGCAGATAACTAAAATATAGCAGTGCTCGACGACTTATGATTCTACACAGAAATGGAATGCAGCGAAACTATTTTGTTCTTTAACAGATTTCTTACCAAAACTTAACAGCATATATTTTCAGCCAATACATGTTCTACAACTGTATTGTTTTTTGATGAGAAGCTAAACTACAAATTCTTTCACATCATCATATTTTATCCTCATTTTGATGATGTGAAAAAAAAATCCAAGGCAGCATGAGAAGCATTCAAAGAAAAGAAAAAAACTTAGTAGTTCCAGCAAAGCCATGAAAACGTATCTTACTAAGAAGAGGAAAACACACAGCACACAAAACTGGGAAATGAATTTAATTGTGTCACTTTCTTTTTTCTAAAAAAAAAAAAAAAAATCGCAAATATTATTTCATGAATTTTAAATAATCTAGTTCTGTGCCTAACCTCTACGATTTTTTAAAGTATTTCTAATACCAACCAGGAATACCCCAGGAACAAAACAATTATTTCACTAAAATATTTGATGTGGGGCTGATACAGCTGAAGTAGCTTTGAAGAAGAAAGACTATTTAAAGCCTTACTATCCATTAAAATTTTTAAAATGTTCCCATCGCACTACATCTTTAAGATTCTGTTTAACAAAAATCCAATCTTAAACCCAAAGGCATCCTTCCAATGTTAAAGTTAAACGGAAACTCCTCAAAGCTCAAAGAAACACACAGTGCTGAGAACAGTTCTACAGTGACAGAAAATTCCCCTGAGACTTTTTCAGATGTAAAGATGACAGAAAAGATAAGCCTACAGCTCTTCAAAGCATTACTGTCCTCTTTAGCACAAAAAGGAATTTTCTGATGGGCTAATTTAGTGCTACAGTCAAAACAAATCCTTCAAAAGTGAGATCTGCCCTGATGAAAGACACTACAACAGGGAGCAGTCACTCTGGAGGGGTTTAAACTACTGAAGGGGGCACCTGGAGACGTCTGCAGAGTGTGCGCAGTTCTTCAGTATTTAGAGCATCGATCCTGCGGTGATACTCAGCCACTGACACTACCTGAATATGGAGACAGGAAGACAATAATTCCACTGACAATTGAGAAAAATAGCCAAAACAAATGTAAAAAATGGAGAAACTTAAAAGGGGAAAGAAGTGTAATCAGGATTTCTTTCCCCAACTCCATGCTGAAAACCCAAGAGATTTATATATCAAACTGCAGTGAAATATACATAGTGAGTTTAACCACGACATCCAACTAGTTCGCAATATACGGTTTATTTTATGGATTGTCTCATGTAGAATTACAAAGGAAAGAATTATGAGGGAAACATGTAAAACATGACATTGCTTTGCTAACACCGAAGATATTATATCTAAAATCTAAATGCCTTGCAGTTTACAAAGAATATGGTAGTTTCCACCCTCTTCTTTGCATCAGTTTAGTTCAAACATTGCATCCTAATGGCAATGCCGGAAAAAATACTTCTAGGCAAAGGTGACAAACATACCCATACTATATGATCTGTATCAGAAAAAGAGAGGAGGAAGCAAGGAAAAGATATGAAGGAAATTTTAGATAACAAGAAAAATAAGCTCTAGAAAGTAGCAAATTAGATTTTCTAATCTAATCAGCGGTACCTTTTCAGGCATGTTGCCTACTTCAGTATTTTTAAGTGACACTCCGGTTTTTGCCTCTCCTCTATATTTCTTTATGGTTGCTACTGTAGCCGTTATTTGTGAATAAAACGTTATGATTTTTCTATATTCTAAATTCCTAAGGGAAATTCTCTGTCTTCTGTAATTGCCTAGACCAGTCTCTTGCATAGTGTTGAAGTTGAAAGCCATAGATGACAGAGAAACATTATTACAACAAGCCCACAAAAACAGACAAATTTCCTCAGACTGAAGCAACAGCTCCTATATTTTTTTAGATTGTGAGGTAATTCCCCAAACGGTAACCACAATATAATGAACTCTGGTGGTGCCATAAATATGTGCTGATTCTCCTGAGTTATGACAAATTCCTCTTGTGATCAAATGTGTAGAGATTCCGGCCACAAAATGCAGTTAAACCAACTGGCCTATAGAGTTTACACTTCTAATTTAGGATTTAAAAGGCTCTTTTCTAGCCAACTAAAATGAATTAGTCACCTGTAATGTTAAAGGTAACTCTAGAAAGAGCTATGTAAACCTGTTATGAAAGCTATGAAAGACATGAGAACAGAAAAAAGGGAAAGAAACTGGAAAGATTTCCATCCTGGCCATTGTTATTATATTGACTTTTGCAAAGCAACAATGCATGCAATATGATAGCTAACTCTCTACTTACAAGGAAACCCAAAGTGCTGATCTCCAGCTCTGGGGGATCAGAAGGACCTGGTTTGGCCCCTTCCTTTTCTATTTCGTCATAAAACAATGGAAATAATAAGAGTTCATACTGAATAGGGTTTTTATATAAAATGCATATCAAGGATTGAGTGTAGTGCCTAGCATATAGCAAATGAAAACTACTACTAACACTACTTTTAACTGATCATTTTTTTGCCTATTACCCTAAGTACTGAAGGATAATGTCTGAAGAACTTTCTCATTTATTGTTTTTATTTTTGATATTAAAATATTTCAATTTTGAGAGCTCAACTATTTTGTATACCTTGAATGACTTTTCTGAAATTAATTTCCAATTTCAGTATTAAATACAAATATTAAAGAGCTTTCAATTGAGAACAACAGAATTCTCAGTGAACATGAAAAAACAACAATTAGGCACTAAAAATAAAAAGGATAAATGGTGATGGAAGGAGACTTGACCAGGGGTAGTAAACACACAATACAACATACCAATGATGTACTGTAGAACTGTATACCTAAACCTGTAACATTTTATTAACCTGTGACACCCCAATACATTCAATTAAAAACCCAATAAATAAAAACCAGCAGCCTTGCTTTTCTATGGCTAGCAAAATAAAATCTCTATAGATATTTAATGGTCAATTACATTTTTCTTTATTTTTCCCATGGCATTCAGTCTAGTCAGGAGTCCCCTAGTCAAGTATTTTCAAATTATATGACTTAACTACTCCTCTGAATACCTTCTATCCCTTCTAGTTAACACCAATCTTACACTTGTTTCTTAAAGCCCCTTCTTTTACCATATTAAACACACTTCCTGGAGGAAGTAAAACTGAATTATAAGCTCTCGAAATGGAACAGCTATAACCTAATTTCATTAACATCACTGACAAAAGAAGTTATTGGTGAGGGAACCATGAATTGCCATTGTAAACATTTGGTAAATTCAAAATTTCTTTAATGTCCTTAATACTTTTAAAAAATGTAGTCTTTATTAAGACTTACAAACTCACCACTTCTTTTACCTTCTAAATATTTACTCATGCTTTGATGAAGATACATAAAACTATCAAGAGTTTATGAATTAATAAAAACAAGGGATTTGATATCAAATGAGTACAGAAATATACTTTCTCCTCTGAAAACAAAAGAATAAAGAGCTATAGAATCCTAGAATACATGATGGAACTAGAATTAGTCTTAATTTTTATCCCTGGTAAATCATACTACAAGTATAGGATTTATTACTTTACCCAAAACATTAAACCTAAGCAGAAAATAGATATTTTTCTACAAAATGTCCTATATTACATTTTTAATTATTAAGGATACACAGGTGAGGAAACCAAGACCCTCCAATTAAAAGTGTGAAAAGTAATTTATTGAGGAATTAAGTGTTGCATGTACTGCTAAATCCCAGAGGTCTGAAGTACAACAGGGCCTACCCTCTGCAGAATTAAGTGCTTACTCTCTAGTCTTTTTAGCCTTTGACAAGAATAACAAATAATGGCAGGATTAAATCTACCCATTTCTATACAAAGGGACCAACTAACAACAGAAATCAGAACAGAACAAAAGCTGAAAATAAAGTAAAATTTAGTTTTTATTTGCTTTATTTTTATAGGATGCTATCAATTCCATAAGTAAGAACATGTTCTTCTAGATATAAAGATCAATATTTTGGTCTAATAATCCTTTTTCCAGGATATTCCAGTATTTTCCCCTAAGATTATACCACAAACCAACCAAAAACTTCCTTCCCCCAACTGTCTTCCAGAGTAACAAAAATCTGGTAGATATCTGTGAATATGCCATTTTGATTCCTTACTTATTCCTTACTTTTATTCCTTAGTAAAAGGAGATGGGGTAGAGAGAAAAATATTGTGTAATCAATGACATTTATACTTAGTTTGGTATCCAAAAATATACTAAACAGGAGGAATTTAAGTGTGACTGTTGTGTCTAACAAAAAGGGCATTCAGCAGCATCCTTGAGGTCACCCTTTGTTCTATAATTTCATCATATACAACAAAGTCATATTACAAAATAAAACCTGAATTATGGCAAACATTTGCTTATGTTTGCCTTAAATTAAAACTATTGCTTTCAAAATGACTCTTTATGACACTATATTAAAGGAGGTATAAAAAGGAGCAAACAGAGAATCATGAATTAGATAACTGGAAACAGAGGGTAAAAAATTAAATCCAGAATTAATTCAAAACAAATCAAAGTTATGTTCTGAATAAATCTTCTGCATTTAAAATTACTTCCTATTACGTATATTTGCAGATGACTCAGATTTTCATGAGAAGGCTGATATATTCACTGTTCTTTTAGTCAAAAAGAAACCTGTTAACTACCTAAAACTATTCAACTATAATATGCATATATGGTATTAACTTCCTGGAACAATAAATATAAGAAGTGAATCTCATAAAAAGGGAATAATCTCTTTTCTGCATAGCATATCAGAGGAAAAGAATACTCATTACATAAATCTGTAATATATAAATCCACTATTATAGTTGGAGACTTCAAAACTATAGGTGATTCAGAAATTAGTGGACAAAAAAATCAGTAAGGACATAAATAAATGAAAGAGCACCTTCAATTTACTGGGTCTAATTGATATGTATAAAATAACTCCTCCACCTGGGGGGCAGGAGTGGCGGGGGGCGTCAACTGGGGGAAAAAGGAGACATATGTAATACTATAAACAATAATAAATAAATAAATAAAATAAAAATAAAATTAACTCCTTCAGCATCAGTAGAATACACATTTTTCTCAAGCTCACATGGACATTAACAAGACAGACCACATTCTGGGCCATAAAACATACCTCAATAAACAGAAATCATAAAGAATGCTCTCAGACCAAAATGAAATTAAACTAGAATCAATAACAGAGGAATAGTGGGAAAATACTAAAATACTTTTAAACAACACACTCCTTATTAATGCATAGTCAATAAAATTCTGTGAAAAACAAAGTATTTTGAACTAAATGAAGCTATAGCAGCAATCAATAAAATAGAAAACAGAAAATCAATAGAGAAAAATCAACAAAACCAAAAGCCAGGTCTTTGAAAAATGTGATAGCCAGTTATTAGACAGACATGAGCACAGCAAGGACAATGGGCCAGGAACAGAGGTCATCAGGATGGAAAGCCCTGGGTGCCTAACAAAGGACAATTATAGGGACAATAGTCTCCAGGGTCATCTTTCCTCCCCTAACATATCACTGGTCATGTGGTTTGGACCCCCTGACTTTTCCTCCTTAGAGATAACATCTAGGCTCAGTTGTATTTCAGCTCAAGGCCCAGAAAAACAGCAAAACCAGACAAGCAACACCATGCCAAGGCTAACCTCAGGACCAGCTGCACTGACTAAGGAATAACCTCCCGGCCATGGTGCCAACCAATCAGTGGAGACCATGACCTGGGAGAAGCACACTTGGAAAGCTGATGAATATTCTATTGAGACCCTCCCCTGAGGCCCCCCTAAAATCTCGACCTGCAAGAGAGATAAATACCCTCAACACAAAGGGCCCAGGCATGTATATAAACTATAAGGGACCCCAGAAGATTTGCAACCAGAGGAGCAGTGGGCAGTGACAGCTCATCCCAAGTAACTCCCTGAACTTGTATCCAAGGCCCAATTTTCTCTGACTTCTCAGTGAGCCAAAGCAGCCCAGC